TGGATTTATGAGAGAAACAAAAGAACCAAGGGTGACTTTTCTAATGTTGATTTCACACAGAGAACATTTGATCTTCATCTCCTGGACACCCGATCTTCCTTCGAAGCTCCTTGACACAACTGTTCTCTCGACAGCATGGATGGTAAGGCCCAAGTTTCCGTTTGTTTCCAGAGAAACCACCCTTTTGTCCAATTGCAAAATGAATAATGCTCCTTGACCCTCAGGTATTGTTTCTGTGATTTATAGGAGATCTCACTTCAGTCACTAAATGTTGTTTGTTTTAAGCAAATGAAACTTCTCTTGGCAACAGAGATTGTCTTTTTTTTTTTTTTTTAAGAATTATCTTATTTAACTTTTATTTATTTATTCATTCATTTTTTTAAAAATTTTGACCAAAGAGGGACAGAATTAGAGAGGGACAGAGAAAGAGAGGGAAAGTGAGAAAGCAAGCCACCAGGTTCGCAACTTGAACCAAGATAAGCCATGTGGGAGTCCAGTGCCCCTAACCACCACACCACCTGCCGGCCCCAGAGACTGTCTTTCAGAATATTAAATGGCACATACTGTCATGTATGAGGGATGTTTTATGAGAAATGTATCCATTAGGCAATTTAGTCTTCATGTAACATTATAGAGTACTTACATGAACCTTGAGAACCTTGATTGATACGTGTACAACCTACTACCCACCTGGGCTATCTGGTATAGCCTGTTACAATCTTGTGGGAACACTATTCGAATATGCAGTCTGTCCTTGCCTGGATTGCCTCCTCTTGTATGCTGCACACTGCATTCTCGGAGTCTTTGTTGACTAAGCAGTTCACACTAATCATGGTACAGCAGAGATCCTGTCTTCAGATTCTAGGCCTTAAGTTTGGTACTTGCCTCTTTTCCTTCCAGTAAGGGAGCGTAGACAGGTGGGAAGGACATTGGATTGTTAATCTAGAGACCTCCCTATTAACCCAGGCTCTGTACTGACCTTTGTCACCATGTGTCCCTGCATAAGTCGTTACCAATAGGACTCTCCTTTCTTCAAGTGAGGGGGGTGAGTCAGATATTCATTCAGATAGCCTTAACTTGTTTGCTTTAAATGCCCCTGATTTTATAAAGGAATCACCATGTGACCCTGCATAAGTCGTTACCAATAGGACTCAGCTCCTTTCTTCAAGTGAGGGAGGTGAGTCAGATATTCATTCAGATAGCCTTAACTTGTTTGCTTTAAATGCCCCTGATTTTATAAAGGAATAATGCCCAAATAGGAAACAAACAAACAAAAAATAGCAAAGAAAAAAAGATGAATCAAAAAAGAAGAAGTTCATAAAAATTCTTTTCTGGCACCGGCATATGGCTTGGTAGTTAAAGAGCTGGACTCCCATGTGGTTAACTGTGGTTCAAGTCCCAGACCTGGAGGCTTGCTTTCTTACTTTCCTTTTCTCTCTCTCTCTCTCTCTCTTTCTTTCTCTCTCAATAATTATTTTTAAAAAATTCCCAGGCCCGATGGCAAATTTAAAAATAATAATAAATAAAGTTAAATAATTATTTTTAAAAAATTCCTTTTTGAAGCTTATTTGTTTCTTCTGTAAGATAAGACAGTCACCCTCAATAGGTTCTTCATGCTACACTCCACCCCCAGTCTAAGCTGGCCAGGATCATGGGTACACATGCATGTAGCTTCTCAGGGAGGTCTCAAGACATGAACCTAGAACCTTTCCCATGTGGGTACAGTTGCATTACCACTTCACTCACTTTTCCCTAAACATGAATAATTCTTAACTTTACCAGTAATTCAGGAAATGCAAATCCAAACAGAGATCCTTTGTAAATCATCAAGTTGGCAAAAAATTGAAGTAACATATCCAATACTGGTTAAATGGTGGACAAAAATGTCCATTGCAGACAGTGCTAGTGAGAGTGCACATACTGTGAGGACAATTTGACAGCATCTAGTAAAATGAGAAATGGACATACCCCATAACCTGGCAGCTCACTTCTGATAAAATAGTCCCAAGAAACTCACACATGTGCAAGATATATACATTATTACAGCATGTTTAGTAGTAGGAAAATAACAGAAGTACTCTATATGTCCTTTGTTAGAAAATGGATTAATAAAATATGATGCAGTTTTGCTATAGATGTACTACAGCAATCGAAAGAATAAACAAGAACTCTAGGCATCAGTTTGGATTAATTTTATAATGTTGAATGAACATGGCCTGTAGAATAATACATACAATGTGGGGTATTATGTAAATACTTTAAAAACAATGTGAGACTAAGTATTGATTGTGACTGCCTATATATTTATGAACAAGAGGAAAAATGGGCTGGAGTGATACTCAAAATTATGAACATAATTACAGTGGGAAGTGAGGCTAAGGAAAGGCATTAGGCTAAGATTGGTATGATAAACTTTATCTGTAAAGTATTATTTAACATTAAAGGTAAGTGGAAAATATGACAAAAAACAGTGGGCAATAGGGTATGAGTAGGTTTTACTTTTTTTTTTTTCTGGTACTTCTCTAAGGCCTAAATCTACAGTTAGAGGGTTTTTTTTGTTTGTTTTCTATTCCTTTTCGGATTGGATTTCTTGGAAGTTGGTATACAAGAAATTGTCTCAGGGAACCAGCAGTTAGCGTATTGGCTATGTTGCTGGACTCCCACGTAGTTGACCGCAGTTCATGTCCCGGACCCGGTGGCTTAAAACTCACGCTGGGCACGTGTGCATGCGTGCCCAAGATCCCGAGAGGAGAATGGAGGAGAAGGGATTGCGTGACCATCCCCCCTGGGGGGTGATTTCTCGCTTTCTGTCTCTATGTCTCTCTCTGTCTGTCTGGCGAGTGCACGCGCCCTATAGTGAAAACCTCTCAAAAGAAAAAAGAAATTGTCTCATTACTCGAAGGAACACATGTAGAAGGATCTGGCCTGGTGCTTCACCCACTGTAGTCTGTTAGCAAATATTGGCCCCTTCTGCAACACAGTCCAGGGATCTGTAGAAAGCAACTGGGGATGGGAAAGAAAGAGACAAGAATAACTAATACACAAGGCAAAATGGTGAATCATGGTAATTACCTTGTTACTGTTGCATGTCTGAAGTAATGCTCATCACTAGTGGTTTTTCTCAGGTAGGCTTAATTTCTATCCTTTCTCTTTTGCTCCTAGGGGAGGAAGATGATTTATCTCTGCTGACCGCCCTGTTGGAAGATGAGTCAGCTTTGGATTGTGATTTAGAAGAGAGTAACTCCTTGATCCAAGAAGATGGCGAACCTGACACCTTTGATGAGCTCTTTGATGCAGATGGTGATGGTGAATCTTACACCGAAGAGGCTGATGATGGAGAAGTGGGAAAGACGGAAGACCAAAAAGAAAATCTGGCCACCCTTTTTGGAGATGTGGGGGACTTAACTGATGAAGAAGAAGTTCCTACGTTGCAATCAACAAAAAATAACGTCCTCTCCACTCCTGCCCCCAGTCAAGAGAAAACAAATCAAGAATTACAAGGTGCCCTAATCATTTGCCTTCTCTAATTTCTTTATGATAAACTAGGTGAAGACCACCAGCCTGATAGTTTCCATCAAAAATAGCTGCTGATTCAAGACTGGAGATCAATTCCTTTGTTCAAAACAAATGTGTCTGAGTTAACAGATGAAACCTTTAAGACCAGCATTTTAGCATCCGCGGGCCTTTTTATATCAGTGTCAGCTAGGTATAGCTGATCCTCCATAGATGGCTCTAGTACTTTCCATGCTTGTTACAGAATATTTCTTTGAGATTTATGTGCGTGTGGAACCAGGGACAAGGCTACAAAATTACTATACATTTTATTTGAGCAGGAGTCTGTTCTTAAACCTTGACGTGTATGCTTTTATTTCCGACATTTTCTCTTATATATATTTAAGTTATGATTAAATTCAGTGGCTGGCTATTTCTTTTAATAGTGCAGGAGCCAGCGTGTAGTATTTATGATCTTTCAGTTTGTGAAATAAATATGATCATTTATTTACTCCTTAGAGCTTGTTAACCATGGATATGTACCCGTGATACCCATCACTAGTACACGTTTATCACTAGCTTGGATGTCACATATAGCATTTTCTTTGGCCTGATTCTGAATCAATATACTTTTCTTTTCTAGATGAACTAAGGAAGTTGCAAGAACAAATGAAGTCCTTACAGGAACAGCTAAAAGTAGCAACAATAAAACAGCCTGCAAGTCCAACCCTTCCACGTAAATCCCCTGGTAATAAGACTGGAATTCTGGCAATAATAGGCGTTTCTGTTACTAAGAAATTAAAACATGACTTTTGCATCCAATTCCTGGCAAAACAGCCTTTGCGCTTTGAGCCCCTTTCTAAATCAGCTTTCCTAATTTCTTTTACTTATAATCCAATAGCTAAGTCTCCACGGCCTCCTCTTACGGAGAAGAAAGTTCAGAGAATTCAGGAGTCAACGTGCTTCTCTGCAGAGCTCAATGTCCCTGCTGTGCCAAGAACCAAGCGAGTGACTCAGACCCCAAAAACTTCATCTGCAGGTATGGCACTCGCATACTCACTGTTCCCACTGTTCCAGTTCATTTTGGCCCTGCTGTGCGTGTGTCTTGGTTTGTCCTTTCTCATGGAGAAAACCGAGTTTCTTAGAAATGGGAGCCATATATTTTGTGTTCTTCCTCTATGTTTCTCTCAAAATTGCTGAGAAAATCCATAGGTACAAAGTAGGTACATCCTAAATACTTAACAGGTTGATTTTTTTTCCCCCATATCAGTGTCGCTGGAGAAAGACACAGAGAGAGACAGTGAGAGGGAAAGTGAGAAATCAGCCTCTGAGGGGATGGCCACACCACAATCCCTTCTCCTTCATTCTCCTCAGGATTTTGGGCATGCATGCCCACAGACCCAGTGTGATTTTCAAGCTCCCAGGTCCCGGATTCAAACCACAGTCAACCTTGTGGGAGTCCAGTGCTGGCCTTAGCTACCATGCCACCTGCTGGCCCAACAGGTTGAGTTTTTAAATTTTAGGGTCTTAATGGTTTTACTTAGACTGTAGAAAGCATAACCACTGGATTAAGTTCTCATGCTAGAGATCTGGGCGAGTTTATCTTCAGACCTGTGAGATAAGGCACATGTTCTCTTGGCAAGTAGTCAGGTTTCATTGGAAGCCAGGTGTTCTCGAACGAAAGGGTCCAGTCTTTAGAAAGGACTTCTTCATTAGAATACAATGGTACTCAAGTTCAATCCTAGTTCAGCACACATATTGATACACGCAAAACAAAAATGAAAAAGATTTATAAGTCCTATGTAATGTTTTTGTTGTATCGCCTTAGTTTATCCAAAGTGATTATTCTTTGGAAGATCTAATGGTCCAGGGATAACAGCATTTATTGGCCGCATGTATCCGAAACAGCTCTTTCGAATAGCACTGCCTTTGACCCGGGAGTAGATCATAGCTCAACCTCTTGAGTGTTCATGTTGGCGACAGAGTGTTCGTTAGATAACAGCATTTATTGGCCACATGTATCCGAAACGGCTCTTTCGAATAGCACTGCCTTTGACCTGGGAGTAGATCATAGCTCAACCTCTGAGTGTTCATGTTGGCGACAGAGTGTTCGTTCCATGTACCCGTTTATGAGTAATGCCATGCTCTGAGCTCCTTTGGCATACTGGAATGTTTTATTAGGCAGTTTGTTTTTGAGGGGGTGGGGTTTGGACTTGGTTTCCTGGTTGTAAAATTCTTGGATTGCCCTGTCTCCCACATAGGAAAAGTAACCCAAAGTTCTTTTGGGGGTAAAGAATACAATCTTACATAAGAGGCAGTAATATTTTATTTAGGAAAATACTCAAGTTTTCTAGCCTTTGTGAACATGATCAAATACTTGTAAAATATGAAAAAATAAACCACATCTGGGATATTTAATGTAAGTGATAGACAGTACAATAACCTGCCCCCCCTTACCTTCCCCTACCCCACACATAAAATAGAATAGAGTGGAATGAAATAAAACAAGAAAGAAAGAAGAAAAGAAAGAGAAACTTTGGATTTTCTTAAGGTAGAGTTTGATCTATATATAAATTTACAGGGATTACTCCTTTCTGAAGGAGGGCATTTACTCCCTGATGGAATCTAGCAGAGTGTTCTGTATTTAGTGAATGTTGAGTAAATAACATTGCCTAGAGAGCTCCTTTAGAGCCACACTATCTAATACAGTAGTTACTAGCAACATGTGGCTATTGGATTTTAAGTTAGATTAAGTTAGAAATGTCCTTTCTTAAAAGGACTGGTGACATTTTAAGTGATCAGTGGGTACCATTATATTGGACAGCACCAATGTAGAATATTTCCATCATCCAAGAAGGTTCTATTACACGACACTGCACTGACTCTGAAGGTAGGGCAGAATGGTCTTGTGGACTTCCTTTATTATCTCAGGACGTGACTACTGTATGTGTTGGTAAGAAAAAAGAAGCAATTCTAGGAAAACTGGTTTCATAATGATCAGTGTCGTTTTCATTTCATTTAATTTTCATGTTAATTTTCTAGAGCCCATGAATTCATCTTCAAGAATGACAAGTGCACCCTCTCAACCACTCCGAACTATTCCTGGGAACAAACCTAGCGGGTTGACTAGAGATGCAAGGACAGGGACCTCACGGAATGCTGGGGATCCGGCGGTCTCTGTGGAGGCCTTCTCTGGCTTGCGGCTCAGGTCAGTAGCTCCAAAAACCTTCTCACAAAGCTCATGTGCACCACTAGATGGCTCTTTCTCCTCTCAGAAGATAGTCTTTCAGAAGGACTATGGTGTGTTTTTAAAGCAGAGCCGCAAAACACTAATGACTCTTGAACTGAACAAAACTTGGCAGTAAGACTAGCGATAATACTGTGTTTGATGCAGTATAGTTGCATAGAAGTGTTTTTAAAAGACCTTTTCTTGTTCACATGATGAATAAAGAATATGTATATGTGAAAAGGAAATGGACAATTCATACTATATTCAGACAGAAATTGACAGATTGACTTAGTAACACAGACTATTTAAATTTTTTTCCTTTTTTTTTTTTTTTTTTTTAAGTTTTTTGTTGTATGGTGCACGCGCTTGCCAGAGAGATGAAAAGAGAGGGGGAAAGTGAGAAATCACCCCCACGGGGAAATGGCTATGGCCCAGTCCTTTGTCTTTAATTCTCCTCTTGGGATTTGGGACACTCACAAACGTGCCTGTTGTGTTTTTTAAGCCCCCAGGTCCAGGACTCAGACCTCACAGTTGGTCATGTGGGATCCAGCTGCCTTAACCTCCACACTACCTCCTGGCCCCATCATCCTTTTTCTTTGTTTGTTTGCTTGTTTTTTAAATTGCCAGAGAGCCTGTGCTCTCACCAGAGAGGGAGGTAATCTGGGGGAAGGGGAGAAAGGATCCCTAAATGGGATGTGGTCATTCTACAATCCCTTCTCCATTTCTCCATCTTAGCAGGATGTTTTGCACACATGCACATGTGCCCCACATATTTTTCAAGCTGTAGGAGCTAGAATTCAAACAGTGATTGCCTATGTCAGGTCTGACTCCCTTGACCATTAAACTGGCCCATCTTATTTTTATTGATCTGTAAAATGTATGCCTTGTCTATTGAGAACAGGTAGCAGATATAAAGGTTTTTGCCCATAACACCTTCCCTTGACACTTGGTAAGGTGCTGAAAAATTCGTTAGGACAAAAATCTAATTGCTGGCTTTATAATCCAGACGACCTCGAGTGTCCTCTACAGAAATGAATAAGAAAATGATTGGCCGAAAACTGATCCGACTTTCTCAGATCAAAGAAAAGATGGCAAGTGAGAAGCTGGAAGAAGTGGACTGGGTGACATTTGGGGTTATATTGAAGAAGGTCACTCCACAGAGTACTACCAGTGTAAGCCATCTTACTGAATTTTAGCTACTTTGTTGAATACTAACAGTGGAGCCTCATGTCCTTAATTTGTTACCTTGAATCTGTCAATATTTCATTTTGAAATAACGTCTAGTAGCTTCCAAAGGTATCAAACCATCACTGGACTGGTATTAAGTATATGCAAAGAATGTGACACTTAAAGGAAATCTAGTTGTATAGGTTTCTAGGACTGTACTCATTGTCCAAATCATTCTTACTGCATTTCAGTTGTCATTGTTTTTAGTGACACATGTGTTGTCCCCATGACACACTGTAATCTCTCCTATGAAGGAGACAGGCAGGTAGTCAGAGAGGCTGAGTTCACAGAGCCTCTCGAGAGCTGTATTGATGTGAGATGTTAGTTGCCAAAGTGCTAGAGTTGTTGGCCTGTGCCGGGGTAGTGTGATGTATCTAATCTGGTGTCTTTGACAAAAAGTATAAAGAGTTTCAAAATCACAGCTAACCAAAACATGAGAAAATTATCTTCTGGCCTGGAGTTCTAAGCCTCCTCTTTCAGCTAGTTATATGACCTTAGGTTGACTGTTACTCTTTGCTAATTTAGGTCTAGGCCAGCCTTAGATTTCTTCAGGAGCTCTGACTCCAGAAGTTGAGTTTTTAAATTTTATTTATTTATTTACATAGGCTTTGCTATATGGCATGTGCGTTCACCAGACAAACAGAGAGACAGAGGGATAGAAAGCGAGAAATCACCCCCTAGGGGGTATGGCCACGCCTCAACCCCTTCTCCTCCATTCTCCTCTCGGGATCTTCGGCATGCACGCACATGTGCCCGACGTGAGTTTAAGCCACCAGGTCCGGGATGCGAACTGCGGTCGACTACGTGGGAGTCCAGCAACATAGCCATTACGCTAACTGCTGGTCCCTCCAGAAGTTGAGTTTTAGATTACTGGGTCCTACTCTAGCTCTATTACCATTGAGAGAAACGTAGGCAAGTGTGGTTTTCATTTGATTAGGTCTTAATCACTTGACAAGTGACTGTAATGTCATTGAAATAATAGGTGTGATGTGTCATCTGAACTCTTGCCAGAAAGGCCACAAATCCATAAGAAAATAATGTAACACTTGGGTCCACCGGCCTTGGTGAGATGAACACTGGTGTCGGCCATGGATGGGGTCAGATGAGCCCCCACTGGATGCCAAATCCAAGGTCACCAACCAGCTTACAGATTTGCAGTTGAAACTGGGGATGGCTGTGAGCTCTGACAGTTGCAGATCTCTTAATTATCCATACATGGCAGTGATGCTACAAGTGATGGGTCATTCAGGGCAAGGAAAGAACAAATGCTTTGAAATGACATTTCCACAGTTTCGGAATTTCTACAGCCATCTCAAGGAAATTGCTGCAGTTACTAAAAGTGAAAGTCGGTTATTTGGTTGAGAACTTGCTGCCATCATTCTTAACACGGACTTCGCTTTCTGCAGTAATACCGTATAAGGATCAAATGATATTTATTGAATGAAATTACACTTAGGGTTTTCAATTTTTTGAAATAATAAATCAAACAAACCGGGATTAGTAATGATCGTGCAGCCTTGTGAAGGTACTATACGTGACTGAATTAAATGCTTCAAATGCCATACTTGATGGTTTGTGAATTATATCTCATTAAAAAGTCAGGAACAGATGAATGATTGATATGGAAGGCAACATGAGTTTATGTATTAAAACAATAGTTTTAGGGACCAGCAGTTAGTGTAATGGCTATGTTGCTGGATTCCCATGTAGTTGACCACAGTTCGAGGCCCAGGCCCGTGTGTGTGCATGCCCAAGAGGAGAATGGAGGAGAAGGGATTACGGTGTGGCCATCCCCCTTGGGGGGTGATTTCTCTCTTTCTCTCTCTCTGGCAAGCGGACACTCCCTATAGCAAAAAACCTTTTCAAAAAAAAAAAGTTTTAAAACGAGAAGGGTAATACGGTATTAAAACCTAGAGAAAGATTAAATAACTCATGTTACCTGTTTTTTCACAATAGAACACTTGAGTCATTATGAAGATAGTGTAACCCATGGTTCAAAAATGATTAAAATAAGAATAAATATTCATTCCAGGGGAAAACATTTAGCATTTGGCGACTGAATGATCTTCGTGACCTGACACGGTATGTGTCTTTGTTCTTATTTGGAGACGTTCACAAAGAACTCTGGAAGACGGAGCAAGGTACTGTTGTAGGGTTGCTCAATGCTAACCCAATGAAACCCAAGGATGGTTCAGAGGAGGTAAATATCTGTTTCTGTGATTCGTTTGGTTGGTTGGTTTTCTGTATAATTACTGAGTTTTATCAAAAATGTTTGTATTAATCTACCTATAGAAAAAGTCACACTTTTACATTAGTATGTAGTCATTATGTCTTTTAAAATTAGTTCCAGAGTTCCTGGAGTGTTTTTGAACTCTTATACTCTAAACTTTTATCCCTTACGTGAATTTACATGGTGGTATCAAGATTCTGGCAGTATTTTTACTAGTTGATTTGGGCCAGCCTGTGTTGTGGTGGTTAAAGTGGCTAGATCCCATGTGGCTGACTCCATGGATCAAGTTCAGCCCTGGTGGCTTGAAATATATGCTGGGCACATCTGCCTGCATACCCAAAATCCCAAAAGGAGAAGAAGGGATTATGGTGTGACCATGCCTCATGGGGTGCTTCTCACTTTTCTTTTCTCAGTCCATCCTCTACAAGCACATGTGCTCTCTAGCAAACTTAACTCTGTGTGTGTGTGTGTGTATGTATATGTATAGCTTAGTTGATGTGATTTTGCCCCATTAATTAGTATATCCATAGCAATTTAGAATCATAGTGACTTTTTATCCCTCAAGCAATAGTAGAGTTTTGATACTGCCTACTGCTTCTCTAGTAAATTGCACATCTAGACACATCGTAGATAGCAACAGGCCCTTTCTCTCCTCACACAGCAAGATTTGCTCTATTGTAGTCAGATTATTGTCAAGAGGAAAAGTTATTTCAGCCCTAGTATTCACCGAGGAATGGCAACAAATCTCTGTCCATTGGTCAGGAATGTGTTTGACTACAAATAATAGGAAAACTTCACTATAGTTTCTCATTAATTAACAAAGGATTTATAAAAGGTAAATATATCATAAAAAATTCCAGATATAGACAGCATAGTGATGGCTGGGTAATGTCTCTGTGAGTCTCTCAGCCTTTTTCTCCTGGTCACAAGCTAGCTTTGAAGTTCTAAGCATCACTGTGAAGCAGAACACTGTGCACTGGTATTGGTCCCTGGAAGGGGAACACCATGTATCAGTTGCCAATCCCAGGGGAAGATTCTAAGCTCTTACCAGTTTCCCCTCAAATTCTAAATCTGACAGGTTTCCAGTTTTGGCAGGAGACTTTGCACAAACCCAGCTGTCAGGACGAGTCCAGTGAGATATAACACTTGCAAAAGTCAGGCAAAGCCACTTTGCTATTCACAGATAGGCAGCAAGAATCAGCAAAGCCTAGAATCGGTGGTCAGCTGGACCCCCCCCAAGACTCAAGAAAGCTGCCCAAGGCAAATGGAGTCTTATCTGCACGTACATTGCACTCTGCTCTAGGTTTTATAACCCACGAGTGACTGTAGTCCCTAAGCTCAAGCATCGCATGGAGAGATAAGAACAAAGCCTGGCTCTTCAGAACAGTCTTTATCAGAATATTGCATTCTCAGTGTATTCTACCTGAGAACTACAAGCAAAAAGCAGGGAGCTAGGTCAGCCCAGGGTTTTCAGGAGGAACTTGTTCTTTGGCAGTCATATCTCCATTCAAGGCAGTAAGTAAAGAGGATGGAAAAGTCAGCCTCCTTGATCTTCTCTTGCTAGGAAAATAAAAGCTTCCCTACTGACTCCTACTTGGTTGGCTAGAACTCAGATGACCATTGCTAGCTGTAAAGAATACTGGGAAAACAGGTAACAGGATCCATTAACTAAGGATGAGCACCTGGCCAGCCCGGATGAAAGTCAGGATTCTGATAACAAAGAGAAAAGTATGAGTAGGGGAGCCAGCTGAATGTGTCTGCATTCCCTTTTCTAAAACTATTTTATAAAACACTGGCTCAAGACCAGTGGTTGGCGTAATGGCTATGTCGCTAGACTCCCACGGAGCTGACCACGGTTCAAGTCCAGATCCGGTGGCTTAAACTCACGCCGGGTGTGTGCATGTGTGCCCAAGATCCTGAGAGGAGAATGGAGGAGAAGGGATTGTGGCATGGCCATCCTCCCTGGAGGGTGATTTCTCGCTTTCTGTCTCGTTCTGTCTTTCTGGTGAGCACACGCACCCTATAGCGAAAACCTCTCAAAAAATAACAAAATAAAACACTGGCTTGAAGTTCCTTTGGAACAATAAAATCTTCTGAAGTCAGCACCAACCATTCTTGCATCCATCTTGCTAATAAAAGGCCATACTGGGGCCAGCATGTGGTATAGTGGTTACAATGCTGGACTTTTACATGACTAACCATGGTCAAGTCTCAGACATGGCGGCTTGAAAATCATGCCAGGCGTGTGTGTTTGTGTGCCTGAAATCCCAGGAGAATGGAGAAGAGATTGTGGCATGGCCATCCCCCCTCGGGGGCGATTTCTCACTTTCCTGCTCACTGTCACTCTCTCTCTCTCCCCCTCCTCTGGCAAGCGAATGTGCCCTATGACCAAAAAAAAAAAACAACACTGAAAAAAGAAAGGAAAAAAAAACCAGAAGCCCTACCTTTGTCTGCCTTTAACACCTACCCTACTTCTTGTTCACAGGTGTGCATATCTATTGATCATCCTCAGAAAGTTTTAATTATGGGCGAAGCTCTTGACCTGGGAACCTGTAAAGCAAAGAAGAAGAATGGAGAACCGTGTACACAGATTGTTAATTTGGTTGGTTTCGATCTTGTTAGGATGGTTTCAGCTAAGTAATGTAATTTAGTAATGAGCTATAGGTACTTTAGCCATAATGACCAACATGGGACCAATTTGAGTTTCCTACTTAACAAGGAGAGTCCACATAAGAAACTTGAATGTGTGGTTAACGATTGTTTAAGAAGCTATGGGAGGAGGAAGGACCAAGAAGATTTAACCTCTTAGGAAAATAATCTTGTACTGCCAACTAACTAGAAAGTATAAGAAAGACGGAATTGGGCTGGCAGGTGGTGTGATGGTTGAGGGCGCTGGACTCCCACATGACTGACTGCAGTTTGAGTCCCAGGTCTGGAGGCTTGCTTTCTCACCCTCCTATCTCTTTTCCTCTCCCCCTCTGTCTCTCTGGTCTGAGTAAAGTTATATAAAATAATAATTAAAAATAATTATAGTTTACCTACATGTTTTGGTGGCTTCAGAGATCAAACACTAATGATAAAATACATTGAAAACTTTATTTAACCTAAACTTTAACCCATCGTTACCTTTTCTTAGAGGTTTTTTTTTTTTTTTTAGAGGTTTTTGCTATAGGGCATGCGTGCTTGCCAGAGAGACAGAGACAGAAAGCAAGAAATCACCCCCCAGGGGAATGGCCATACCATAATCCCTTCTCCTCCATTCTCTCGGGATTTTGGGCACGCAGGCACACACGCCCGGCTTGAGTTTAAGCCACTGGGTCTGGGACTTGAACTGTGGCCTACTACATGGGAGTCCAGTGACATAGCCATTACGCCAACTGCTGGTCCCAAGATTTTGGTGTATTTATTTATATATTTTGAGAGAGACTTTTGCTGTAGGGCTCATGCTCTCACTGGGGCAGAAAGATAGAAAGTGAGAAAGCATCCCCTAGGGGGATACCATTCCTCAATTCTTTCTCCTCCATTCTCCTCTTGGGATCTTGGGTACACACACACACGCGCCTGGCATGAGTTTAAGCCATCGGGTCCGGGACTCGAACCGCAGATGACTACCTGGGAGTTCAGTGACATAGCCATTACACTAACTGCTGGTCCCAATTTTTAACGTTTATTTATTTCTTTCTTCCATGAAAAATAGAGAGACAGCACCTCCAATACTGATAATGCGATCCACTGCCAGCCTTTAGCCAGCCTCGCATCATGAGCAAGCACATGCATGCCCAGTGTTCTCAGGGAGGTCTCCAGACTTGAACCAGGAAACTTCCCATGTGGGATTGCCTCACAGAGGGTCACATTTTACCGTTGTGCCACCATCTGATCCCTCTTTTTTTTTTTTTTTTAACTTTTCACATAACATAATTACCCGTCCTTATACTGTTCAGTTGCATTTGGCCGTGCAACCACCAGCTCTAATTTCACGACTTCTTGCTCACCCTAATACCCTGGGTGCGTTAAGTAATCACTCTGTCCCTTGGTGATCTCTTAACCTGCTTTATGCTTTTCTGGATTTGCCTATTTTAAATATGTCATGTAAGAGAAGTCATAAAAATATATGATCTTTCGTGTCTGACTTCTTTTACAATGTTTTCAAGGTTCATCCTTGAAAATGACTTAATTTCTGTTGTAGAAAGAAGGGAAAGGGAATGAACCATAGTACTTTTTCAGCACCAGATGAGTGCTTTAAGAGACTTCATGGAAGAGCTTCTTCACCTCAGCCACTGCATAGCTCTCCCACTTTGGGCGTGGTGTTGGGAGTCAGTAGGAAGGCCTCTAACTACAGACTCTTCTCTTATGAAGCTGGGGGAAAGGAACTGGATCTGTTCCCCACTGTCCACTGGCCCGTTGCCTCATCCTAATGCCTCTGCTTCTGCCTTTCGCTCTGCAGAACGACTGTGAGTATTGTCAGTATCACATCCAGGCTCAGTACAAGAAGCTCAGTGCAAAGCGAGCCGATCTGCAGTCCACTTTCTCTGGAGGACGAATTCCCAAGAAGTTTGCCCGCAAGGGTGCCAGCCTAAAAGAACGGCTATGTCAAGACGGATTTTACTACGGAGGTGTTTCCTCAGCATCATATGCAGCCTCAATGTAAGATATTCTCTGGGCTTCTTTTGGGACAAAGATTTTTCTTGTCTTCTAATAATAAACCCAGTGGCTATATGCTTTCATAAGATTCTTGTACAGGTTTTATCTTTCATAACTTGCTGCCTGTAACAAGGTAGACACAGATCCCTTTTCTTCCAGATACAGAGGAAAACAGAATAAAGAGAGATTAAGTGAATCATGTTGTGATGGTCTTTAACATAGAGCCCTTGCTTCTGCTTTTATTTTATTTTATTCTTTGATTTTATGTTAAGTCTTTGCCATATGGCACATACACTTGCCAGAGAGAGACAGAGAGAGGGAAAGTGAGAAGTCACCCCCTTGGGGGATGGCCACAATGCAGTCTCTTCTCTATTCTCCTCTTAAGATTATGGGCATGCATGCACACGAGCCCGACATGATTTCAAGTCATCAGGTCTGGCACTTGAACTGCTGTTGGCCATGTGGGAGTCTAGCACCTTAACTACCATGCCACCTGCTGGTCTCCCATACTTCCTCTTCAATGTCTAACATAAACAGTGTAACTTTGTCAGGGCTGATTAATATCCTTTAGGTCATTTCCTCCACAACTATTCAGGTGAGGTTGCAGGTCTTTTAGAATCCAGATGCAGGCCCAGCCATAGTGGCACAGCAGTAGCGCAGTGCTCTGCAGTGCTGGAAGCCACATGGAAGATGGGGGTTCAGTTCCGAGATTGACCTGAACATGCCAGGCACACCTGTGTGCTTGTGATCCTGGCTGGCTGGGAAGACTGCAGGGGAGATGTGGGTGCTTGTTTGTTTCTCTGTCCCTTTCTCTCTCTCAAAAAAGAGTGAAATAAACTGTTTTTAAAAAGGGCATTTAATTCAGGGGACAAATATGTAGTGGAACTTCACCTGGGGATATGGATGAAACGGGAGGCATTCCTCGTCCCTCTTCTGGGCTCTAAACTCTGCAAGGAGTCCCTGAAGTAGGTGATCGACGACCTTGACACTGGTAGACAGCATATCTGAGGACATGACAGGCATTTGGCACAAGAGAACTATAGCTGGTCCAAGAACAAAATGCAGATTTTTGTTCCCAGTACAATAGGAATTGGGCAAAAGGCCCACACCTCCAGTTTATTTTGTGACATCAATTTTTTTTTTTGTTAAGAAAACATTTTCTTCTGTAGGGCATGTGTGCTTGCCACATTGAGAAATAACCCCCGAGGGATGGCCGGGCCACAATCCCTTCTCCTCTATTCACTTCTCAGGATTTTGGGCACACATGCACATGCACCTGGTGTGAGTCTTAAGCTACCAGGTCTGGGACTGCAGTCGGCCATGTGAGAGTTGAGTATCTTTTTTGTTTTGTTTTGGTTTTGTTTTTTTTTTTTTTTTGGAGAGGTTTTTGCTATAGGGCACGTGCGCTCACCAGACAGAGAGAGACAGAGAGAAAGAAAGCGTGAAATCACCCCCCAGAGGGGATGGCCACGCCACAATCCCTTCTCCTCAATTCTCCTCTCAGGATCTTGGGCACACACGCACATGTACCCAGCGTGAGTTTAACCCACCGGGTCTAGGACTCAAACCGCGGTCAACTACATGGGAGTCCAGTGACATAACCATTACACTAACTGTTGGTCCTGAGAGTTGAGTATCTTAACAACCTCGCCACTTGCTGGCCCCAATAACTTTTATTTTTTAAGATTTAAAATAATTTCTAGGGGTACCAGCAGGTGGTGTGGTGGTTAAGGAGCTGGACACTCCCATGTAGCCAACCCCAGTTCAATCCTGGACCTGGTGGCTTGCTTTCTCACTTTCTCTCTCTCTGTATCTCTCTCTCTCCAGACAAATTAAAATAAATGAATGAATGAATAAATAAATAAATAAAATAATTCTTAAAAAATAATACCTAAATTTTTTAAAATTGCTAATAGTAGTAAGTATACATTCTAAAAAAGAATATATAATCCAACCAAGAAAAAAATAAAAGAGAAACCATCTATAATCCCGCCACCTAGATTGCTGTTAGTTCCTTGGTATAAATGCTTATAGTTGTATGGCTTTGCTTTTCTCCTATATATAAATTTGTAAATGAAATGGAATCATGCTTTATACTCTCTCTTTTTTCCTGCACAAAGTGTTTTCCTTGTCATATAGTATAGAATACAAATTGTGTTCTATTGAATGGCTCTTCAATAACTCGTTTAAAGAACTCCTTATAGATGAATATTGGTATTTTCAACTTAGAATATTATAAACTAAGCTTTAGTTAATATCCTAATTTTTTGTATAGTTCTTGATTACCTTAAGGTAAATTCAGAGACTTGTTGATCAAAGTGTTGGCATGTTTTTTTTATGTCTCTTGCCATTCCAGATGGCCTCAAGCAAATTGTAGTTTATCTTTTGCTTTTCCTCTCTGAGAGTGTATAAACCAGTTATGCCACAAGGCCATGGCATTAAGAACACCTGCTTAGGTACCAGCAGATGGCAAAATGGTTACGTCACTGAACTCCCACATAGTTGACCATGGTTCACGTTCCTGATCCAGAAGCTTAAAATTTACACCAGGCATGTGAGCATGTTCAAGGTCCCAAGAGGAGAATGAAAGAGAAGGAACTGAGGCATGGCCATCCCCTTGGGGGGAGATTTCTCACTATCTGTCTCTCTGTCTCTGTGTCTCGGGCAAGCACACACTCTCTATAACAAAAATTTCTCAAAAAAACAAACAAACAAAAAAACACCTACTTATGTGGTACTTTGAGGAACCTTGGCAATGTGTAGTAAATGTATTACTTCTATGCCTTCTTTACCTCATCAGAGCCTTAGAGTTGAGTTATTTTTATTTCGAGAGGTGACTCTTGTCATTTCAGGGCAGCAGCTCTTGCTCCAAAGAAGAAGATTCAAACCACTCTGACTAATCTGGTTGTTAAGGGCACAAATTCGATCATCCAAGAGACGCAACAAAAGCTGGGTAACTTTGTTTCTCCATACCAAATGCTTTTCTCTATCTTAAGTATTCTGTCTTTTAAGTTATAAATATGCACTCATCACCTATGCTTACTGAGTGACATGGTCTAAGCTAAAGGAATCAAGTCTGACTGGCAGAACTTTAAGAAACAGCATGTTAATTTTAGTTGCATCTTAGCTTAGTATGGCTTTTCGAATTTCTTCAAGTGTCTGGGTCAAACTCTTAATGTCCAGCATTACAATCGATAGTATTAGATTCCTAGTCAAACTTACTGGTTATCTTTTGTTACAATAGGTCAAGGTGGCCTGGCTGCAATGGCACAGGTGATCGGACACTGCTGCCCAATACTGGAACCATATGGAAGGCCTGGGTTCAGATCCCTGGTTGACCAAGCCAGGCAGACCCACCTGTGATCCTGGCTAACTGGGGGCCTGGAGAAGGGATCACAGTGTGGTGTGTACCTGTTGAGGGTACTTGGGTATCTGTCCTTTTTCTCTTTCTGTTTCACTCTCTCATGAAAGAAATAAAAAGTAAACTTTAAAAAAAATGTGGTTCTGCCTGGTGGCACAGTCAGTAGAGTACAGACTACAGTGTTGGAAGCCATGTATGGACTGTAGTTTGAACTGCTGCCTACTCAGCCTAAAACACACCAGGTTCCAGGCAAGCACCTGGGATCCAGTGAGCGGGAGGACTGGAGGAAGGGGATCATAATGTGACTGAAAGTAGTGGAGGATGTTCCCCAGCCCTCACGTACATATACTACACACACACTATCATGGATAAAGGAAAAAACTGTTTCTAAAAAAAGTGTTGGGACCAGCAGATGGCATAGTGGTTATATCACTGGACTCCCACGTAGTCGACCATGGTTCGAGACCCGGTGTCTTAAAATTCACACCAGGAGCATGTGCATGCATGCCCAAGATCCCAAAAAGAGACTGGAGGAAAAGGGATTGCAGTGTGGGTATCCCCCCTGGGGGTGATTTCTTGCTTTCTGTCTCTGGTGAGCGCATGCGCTCTATAGCAAGAATCTTTCTCTTAAAAAAAAAAAAGTGTTTAAGCCAGAGACTGCCATCACCGTCCCCCACCCTCCATACTTGTGGTCATAAACAGTGGTCGGAACCTAGAAGGGACCCTTCTTTATAGTTCATATTCCAGAAATAACATATAAAATGGTCCCACAGATTTAAGTGCTTGCTGTCACACTAGTCTAATGTTAGATAGTAAGGATTTGGGGGGGCCAACGTGTGGCCTAGTGGTTAAAGTGACCAGATCTCACGTTGACGACTATGCAGTTCAAGTCCCAGACCCTTGAGAACCATGCTAAGTGTGTGTGTGATGCCCAAAATCCCAAAGGGGAGGAGGAATGGAGGAGAAAGGACTATGGTGTGACTGTTTTCCCTGGGGGAAGAGGAGGGTGCTTTCTCACTTTCCTTCTCTCTGTCTCTCTTCAGTGAATTCATGAACCCTCTGACAATTTTTTTTTTTTAAATACAAGAAGTTAGGATATTTTTTTCTCTTGCTATTCCATCTACTTCATTTATAAATGACTAAATTATGAATGCAGGATTTTAAAAGTGATACATCATTAGGCATTAGTTTGCATCCTCTAAAGCTGATTTTTACGTGTCCCAGGAATACCCCAGAAGAGCCTGTCTTGCTCTGAGGAGTTCAAGGAATTGATGGAACTGCCAACGTTTGGAGCCAGAAACTTAAAACAGCATTTCGCCAAAGCCACGGCCTCAGGTACAGTTGGCTGGTGCGTATGCAGTGTGTGTGCCTGAAGCCTCCAGCCCTCAGAAACCCCTCAGTCTGGGCTTGTATTTTAGGGATGATGGGGAGCCCGAAACCTGCTATCCAGTCCATCTCTGCGTCAGCCCTCTTAAAGCAACAGAAGCAGCAAATGTTAGAGATGAGGAAAAGGAAGTCAGAAGAAATACAGAAACGGTAAGAGTAGCAGATTTAATGTTTTTTGCTTAGATGACTCTTCTCAGGAATTCTTGGAATATCTTCAGAAATTTCAGAAGAGCAAGTACAGATTTTATTTGACTACATTTTTTTTTTTTAATGAGGAATTTTTGCGCTAGGGTGCATACACTCACTCACCAGAGAGACAGAAAGACCGAGAGACAAGAAGAAATCACTCTCCAGGGGGAAAAGCCACACTGCAATCCCTTCTCTATTCCCTTCTCGGGATTTTGGGCATTCACACACACATGCCCAGTGTGAGTTTTAAGCCACTTGGTCTGGGACTCGAACCACAGTCGATTACATAGGAGTCCAGCAACGTAACCATTATACCATCTGCTAGTCTTTGTTTGGCTACATTTTTAACTTTTGAAAGTTTTAAAATAATTTTATCATTAACTTAACAACCTCTAAGGCTATATATCTTTAATGATGCTCAGGACTCCTGAAACCAAATGGTACAGGTTAGAGTTAGTGTCCCTGGAAAAGAAGAAATGTAAAGGAGGGCTGATTTGTGTGAGAGCAGAAAGTGCATTTTAGAAGCAGATGGACTAGAAATGTATGTGTAAGGTGGACATCAAAGATTCCTAAATGCGGGTGTCTCAATAGAGATAAGAGCTGCTGTTTACAGACACTAACACACACTGGGCAATGCTCTCCATAAATGTGGCGCTTTCAGCCCTTACAGTAACCCTGTGAGGTGGTGTTATCACTGTTTAACTAACAGTATGACTGAAGGTCAGCGAGGTAGTTGCTTGGTAGAGCTGAGTTTTGAGCTCACTCCTGTTCTACTGAGTGTTTAGCCATATGCTGTCTCAAAGGTGGATTCCTGAAAGGCAGATGGTTCCTCTCAAGCCGTAAGGAAAGGAAAGTCAACCATAAGTCAAGAGGAAACTTGTGAGGAAAATAAGAGAATGAGTTTGGTCTCAGGCAGGGTAATTTGGGTGCTGATAGGATGTCTATAGAGATATTCACCATGTGCCTACAGGTGGCGTAAGTACTCATGGGCAGAAAAATACTGGAGTTGTGGGCCTGTTGCAATATGGAGAGTGCCTGCCAGTGTGAAGTCATTACAGTTGGCAACTTTTCAGAATTTTGCTGGCCAAACAAAACATCTCTACGCAAGAGTCGATAGACATTGTGCAAATTCAGCCTAGATTTTGCAAGAGTAGGCAAGCGATAGTAAAAATACTGGCCTGGGGTTACCTGGCATGGCATGAGCCCTGCATTACGAGCAGTGTAATCTTGGCTCTCAGTTTCTGCACCTGTAAAGCGAGATTTTTGGGCTACATAATTTCTGAGGATTGCTTAAAGCCATATATAAAACAGTTATTGTACAAGTTATATTACTTTTCCATTAAGGACTTTCAGGTGTATCACATGTATTATCTCTTCCCAGGGGAGTAAACTGAAATGCAAAAGGTAGAATAAGATCCTAATGGTCCCAGAGCTCATACAGGCTGGGAATGCAGTCCACACCTTCAGGTCTATAGATGACATCCACTAGAAAGCCAGTTGTTAAAAACAGTGATCGTTTCTAAAGTGGTAGAACAATTACAGTAATTCCCTCTTATCCATGGTTTCCTTTTCTGTGGTTCCAGTTACCTGTAGTGAATCAGGGCCTGAAAATATTAAATGGGAAATTCCAGAAGTAAACTACAAACTGTACGTCGCATGCCATTCCAAGTAGCGTGATGAAATCTCGCACTTCCCCTGCTCCATCCCACCTTCCCCTGCTCCATCCCATCCTCCATCCTTATACCTAGTATGTAAGCTGTACACATTACCCACCTGTTAGTCACTTTGTCATCGTGTCAGTTATCAACTCAAAAAACATAATGTATATAAAACCCAGAAGCCACCATTTTAGGCATCCACAGGGGATCTTGGAACATATTCCCTGAAGATAGGGGAGTTATGGGAAGTCAGTTAAAGAAGAGTGAGTTGTTCTCATCATGTGCTAATTTGAGTTATTAGCCAAAAGGGGGAGATTATTTTAACAACAAGTTAGCAGCTGGTAGCCTGCCTGAAATCTCCCAGTTCACTCTGAGTTCTGGAGTTTTCATCTTTGTAAAGCCCTATTTGATATTTGTTATTGCATGTGTCTTTCAAGATTTCTCCAGAGCTCAAGTGAGAGTCCAGTTGTGCCATCCTCATCTCGACAGCCCCCAGCTCAGTCACCACGAATGGGGGCCGAGGTCCCCCGGCTGGAAGGAGTCCCAGCCACATGGACGCCTAAGCTGGGGCGAGGCATCTCAGAAGGAGATGATGTTCTGTTCTTTGATGAGTCTCCACCACCAAGACCAAAGCTGAGTGCTTTAGCGGAAGCCAAAAAGGTAACCGGCATCTGGGTTTGCATTCTGTAAAATTCAGTTCAGATTCGAAACTGTATACTTACAGCCAGGGAAGAGATACATAATAGGCATTTAGTGATCACAGTGTAAAAGTAATTTTAACATTAGTGTCAGCATAATATGGTTTATGTAATCCAAGAAAGTTACATGAACTTTATTATCTCAACACTATTTCTCATCAGGCTGAATAAAAAGAACTATAAAAGACTGTTTTATAGCCAGAGACACTGTCGTTACGGGAAAATTATTGGAATTGTTGAAACAAGGCTATGAAATACTGGTTTAAAGAAGAATCCTCCTTTAAAAATAGCAATTGTACACATTTATTAATCAGTACTACTCTATACCTGTGATATATCTGTGGCATGCTATTTATTATATACAGGTACATGCTTTACACACATTATCTGAGTTCATCCACACATTCAGACCTATAGATAAATGTTTTCAACATCCCATTTTATACATGTAGAAACTGAGGCTTAGAAATGAAGTGATTTGCCCAAGATTATAAAATAATCCATGAAAGAACTGAAATTCAATCCTAATTTTGTCTGGTTCTAAACCTTCCAGCATGGTGATATGATTCCTTTATGGATCTAGAAGCCTACAGTCTAGCGAATGTTAAACTCTCTCTATACACACACACACACACACACACACACACACAGACACACTTTTTTTTTTCTTAGAGGTTTTTGCTATAGGACGCACATGCTCACCAGAAAGACAGAGACAGAAAGCGAAAAATCATCCCCTAGGGCGGATGGCCACACCACAATCCTTTCTCTTCCATTCTCGTCTCGGGATCTTGGGCACGCACACACATGTGCGTGGCGTGAGCTTAAGCCACCGGGTCCGGGACTCGAACCACGGTTGGCTACATGGGAGTCCAGCAACATAGCCATTACGCGAACTGCTGGTCCCCACACACATTTTTTTTTTTAAGAGAGATTTTTGCTCTAGGGTGCGTGTACTTGCTGGAGAGACAGACAGAAAGCAAGAGTTCCCTTCTCCTTTCTCTTCTCAAGATTTTGGGCATGCATGCACATGCCTCTGATGTGAGTTTTAAACCATCGGGTCCAGGACTTGAACAACAATTGACTACATGGGAGTCTAGCAATGTAACCATTATGCCATCTGCTGGTCCCAAACTATATTTAAATAAACTGAAACTTTATTCACTAAGAGACCTGTCTTCCATACTTTTTTTTTTTTTAATTTATCTCTTTCTCAAGAGAGAGACAAAGAGAGAGGGGCACTCCAACAGGGTCTTCACAGTGTGATCTACCCCCAGCCTCAGCCAGCCCCGATCATGGGCACCCATGTGCCCAGCCTGTACAGGCAGGCCTTGGGGCACAACTCCGGGAACTTCCCATGTGGGTTCAGTCTTGCAGAATATTGTGTAATCACTACGGTTGGCCCTTCCCATGCTTTAGAAATTCAATAATTGTATTAATAATCTAAGTTAAATGAAGGTACAGTTTACCATCTTCTCTTGGAGAACAGCCAGTATGGACTAGTTCATAACTGGAAAGAGGTGTGAGGTTTAAGTGCCTCGCTTGATGTCTAGGTTTTTACCACCCTCTCTTCTTCTTTCCTAGTTAGCCGCTATCACCAAATTAAGAGCAAAAGGCCAGATTCTTACAAAAACAGACCCAAATGACATTAAAAGGAAACAAAAGGACCCTCAGGACGTCCTGGAAGTAAAGGAGCGAGTAGAAAAAAACCACACATCTTCTCCAGGTATTTCAGCAAAAAAAGCAAGCTTTTTCAAAAGAGGAATATCATCGCGCATAACCAGCGCCCCATGTCAAGTCATTATTTTACTTTAATTTTCCTCCATGTAAGACACTTAAATAGAACTTCTACAACAGTGTTTTTGTTTTTAAGAATTATTTTAACTTTATTATTATTATTGTTATTATTGTTACTTTCCAGTTTGATCAGACAGAGAGAGAGAAAGGGAAAGTGAGAAAGCAAGCCACCAGATTCAGGACCTGAACCACGGTTGGCCATGTGGGAGTCCAGTGCCCCCAACCATCACGCCACCTGCCGGCCCCTACAACAGTGTTTTTTATAGTCACATTTGATTAGAATGAAATTAGGTGTAATTTAAACACGTGAGGAAAGGACTGCTCTTTGGTCCTCTGTATGTATAAATTTAAAGATTTACTTTGAAAGAAATAGAACTTCTTTGTTTTAAGTTACCCCTTTTTTTTTTTTTTTTGAGAGGTTTTTGCTATAGGGCACGTGCGCTCGCCAGACAGAGAGAGACAGAGAGATAGAAAGCGAGAAATCACCCCCCAGAGGGGATGGCCACGCCGCAATCCCTTCTCCTCCGTACTCCTCTCAGGATCTTAGGCACGCACGCACACGCGCCCGGCATGAGTTTTAAGCCACCGAGTCCAGGACGTGAACCGCGGTCAACTACGTGGGAGTCCAGCGACATAGCCAATACGCTAACTGCTGGTCCCAAAGTTACCATATTTTTATTTTTAAAACTCTTGAGGTTGGCAGTGCCATTTCAAAATCAGTTTGTAAATAGGGATTTTTATTATCTATTATTATAATCAGCTCCCTATTTTAAGATGAAAAGGATTCTAATCTAGTGGTCAAATCTGCCCTCACCCCACATTCCAGGCCCTGTTTCTTGGCTTAGTTCCTTAGAGCTTTTCTCTGCTGGTACCAGCTCAGATACATAAACTTGAAGGGCCTGGGAGGCAGAGAAAGATGGAATGGAAAGAAGAGGAGTTGATGAGGCACCCCGGCTTTCTCTGAAATTTCTCTGTTAGCAACTACATTTTTTCCCCCGCTCTAGCTGAGGATGAATTGGAGCCTGCCAGGAAAAAAAGGAGAGATCAGCTTGCCTACCTGGAATCTGAGGAATTTCAGAAAATTCTAAAAGCAAAATCGAAACACATCGACATTCTAAAAGAGGTAAGAGCCCAAAACATCAGGCATGGCATAGATGCCTTTCAAATCCACGGTGCTTTGTTGCAGGACTAAGAATCTGATTCTTTTACATACTCTAAGAAGTAACTTGACGTATGTCACTGTGTGCGAGTTTTCTTTGAAAAACAGGAATGTTTCTAATAGATGTTGGCTTTGCCCTTGTCCTTGTACTGAAGAGCATCATTTGGTTTAATAATGTTTAACTAGACTCTCATAAAAATGTCTGTAGTTATGCCTGTGACATTGTGTTTAAACGGCTCGGCACTGTTTACTGTTTCCTGCCTCACTATGTGAAGGGATGTCTTTCATTCATATATTTTTTACAATTATTTATCATTATTTATTTATTTATTTATTTATTTTTATTTGACCATAGAGGGATAGAGAGAGAGAAAGGGAGAGAAAGTGAGAAAGCAAGCCTCTAGGTCTGGGACTTGAACCGAGGTTGACCATGTGGGAGTCTAGCACCTTTAACCACCATGCCACCTGCTGGCCCCTCATTCATATATTTTCATATAGCCATTTCAAATGCTCTAAATCAGTTAACCCCATCACTTCCAATGCCCCCTTTAAATAACAAGTATTTTGCATTGCTTCCTTATTATCTTGAAGTAGAATTAATGGGTAATATAAATTATATATCCTAATGATTTCCAAGATATCAATATAATGCCCTAACTAATATACAGAAGAAAATATATGATGAAAATACATAAATGCTTAGATACAGTTACCCTAGAAGAAGTAATTTAACTGCTCAGAGACTTGGGTTGATAAGTGTTAATGAGACATTTAGAAATGAAAACTCAGGACAGCCCCCTGCAACAGTAGTTAAGCCCTGTGCATAGGGAACTGGATCCTACTTTGCCAGCTGAGATTCAAATTCTGACCCTGGTAGCTTGAAAATTATGCCCGGCATGTGTGCATGCATGCCCCAAATCCTGATGGGATAGAGAAATGGAGGGAAAAGCTTTCCAGCATGACCATGCCCTCTTGGGGGTTCACTCTCTCTCACTAACACACATACACCGTAGCTATATATATATATATATATATATATGTATTTTTTAATGAAAGAAAGGTCATATAGGTATGTTTTCTTGGTTATTAAATACCATGGGTCTGTTTCTTTGATTATGTCTTTTAAAAGGCAAAAAAATGAATAATTTTGGGAAACCAAAGTATAGTTGTCCCTCAGTCTACATAGGTGTTGCGTAGTTGTTGTACTCTTGTAGTAAGTATTTGGTATGAATTAAAATCATACTCAAATATTACAGGTTTGTAGATAACGCAGTTAGTTTCTACTATATAATCAGGTTTCCACCCAGATGTCACTTAGAATGCACAGAAGTCATGAGGGAATATGACCCATCCTTTGTCATGGGGGAACTGTTCCCTATTTCAGAAAGTGTAGCATCCTCATTCCTCCTGACAACAGAGGTAACAGTTCTTGGGATAACAAAAAAATAAACATAAAAAAGGCTCCCACAGATTTTTAAAATGTCCCCTGGTGGGCTGTACAGCTCCTGTTTGCACCATTACTTGGACCAATCTGCCGATCTTTGATTAATAAGTAACCAGTGAGGCAGTTATGTTCCATACTTTTCCATGGGACTTGGAACTTGGTCAGCAGACACACCAGAGCTGAGCCTGAAAGGCTGTAGAGCTGAGCTTCTGACCTCTCGCGGCCACCAAACGCCCTGGGCCCTCTTACTGGTGTAGCTGTGTTAAATCCAGAGCATACTTACATTCTGCCATGTAATCTCTCCGCTCTGCCTCATAACTACTCCCAGTTGTTCCAGACACCCAGGAAGTTCTCCTGCCAAGGTCTGATCTGGAGAACAGTACCTAACAGATGGCTGACTAGCGAGGCCTTGGGTATCGTTCCTATGTTGAGTCTGTGTTGGAACTAACTGCTCTCTGGTATGCACTTGACGTCATGACATTGCTAATGATGTTACTATTGTTTATTTGTATTTAGTATTTTAAAAATTACCAAATGCTGGGATCAGCAGTTAGCGTAATGGCTATGTCTCTAGACTCCCACGTAGTCGACCACGGTTTGAGTCCCACACCCGGTGGCTTAAACTCACGCCAGGCGCATGTGCATGCATGCCCAAGATCCCAAGAGGAGAGTGGAGGAGAAGGGATTGCAGCGTGGCCATCCCCCCGGGGGGTGATTTATCACTTTCTGTCTCTCTGTCCTTCTAGCAAGTGCACACACCCTATAGCAAAAACCTTTCCGAAAAGAAAAAAATCACCAAATGATTTCATGTCCTCCCCCCACACACAAATTAAGGGCTCATTTCTATTTATCACCAGTTTTTGGTTTGCAAGTCATAGGTTTGCTCTCCAGTTTCTAACATGTAGCCTAGTTAGTATTGAACTGAATCATTGCATAATTATTGACTTCAATTCTAATTAACTGCATCAGTGTATATTGGTTTTGATTCAAGGTATACTATATGCCTTGTCTTTTCAGACTGAGGCTGAGCTTCAGGAAAGATACTTTGAGCCACTGGTGAAAAAAGAACAAATGGAAGAAAAGATGAGAAACATCAGAGAAGTGAAGTGCCGGGTTGTGACATGCAAGACGGTGAGTGAAGGTGGGAGCATGGGCCTGTGGGCCCTGCTTATTGCTCTGCTGACACAGGACATTGAGAGTCATGGGATATGTTAACATGTCATGTTATCAGGCTGGAAAACAAACAGCCCAGGACCTGGCTTTGTACCTGAGCTGGCTGCCAGACTCTGCAGGTGGAGCACTCATAGAGGAGATTCTCCTCTCCCTTCACCACAGTTCCCATTCCTTGGAAAAGCCTCTGACTTCTCTTCCCCTATTATCACTGAGTCCAAGATGATCTTGTTTCTCTTTTTCTTTTTTTTTTTTTTAAGAGATATTTTTGCTATAGGGCACTTGTGCTCACTAGAGAGACAGAGAGACAGAAAGTGAGAAGTCACTCCCCAGTGGTGGAAGGCTATGCCACAGTCCCTTCTCCATTTTTTTCTTGGGATTTTGGACATGCACACACACACACGCTCTGCATGTGCGGGTCTCGACTTAAACCGCGGTCGATTCATTACATGGGAGTAACTATTATGCCATCTGCTGGTCCCTTTATCTCTCTTTTTCAAGTCCTCATGTGTCTTCAATCCATTGTTCAGTCCTTGGGACCTTGATTTAGCTTTCTGAGTTGGCATCCTAGTTATGATCCCTCCTCCTCACAGTTTAACCTACTACACTGAATCTCAATTCAGAGTGTGAATTGCATTGTCACATGAGTTTGTAGATATTTTTACCCAATTATCTGATAGAAAACTCTTAAGTCCTTGGGCTGGCTCCATGGCCTCATGGTTAAGGCAGCTAAATCCCACATAACCATCTGTGCCATTTGAGTCTCAGATGCAGCATCTTGAAACATATACTGGCTACCTGTGCATGCATGCCCAAAACCCCAAAAAGAGGGAGAGAGGAGCAGGGCTTGCAGCATGATCATACCACCTGAGACTGTGCTCTTCCTTTATCTGGCAAAAGCACGCACCCTCCAGTAAAAAAAAAAAAATGAAAAATAATAAAGAAAATTCTAAGTCCTTAATTCTTCAATATTAAAAGATAGCAACAAACAAAAGTTCTTGCTCAACGCCACTCCTCCTTTTACCATTCATTCCAAATATATCTGTAGCCAAATCAGATTACTAAATGTGTACAAAGAAGAAATTGTTTACCAAGTGCAGATAGTCCTCAACCTACAGTGATTTGGCTTGGGATTTTTCCACTTTACAATGGGTTTTGTGGGATATACCCTCCCATCATCCCATTTCATTTCCATCTATTCACTTTCTTTTTTTCTTTTAAAATCTTAGATTCTTTTATATATTTGGGAGTCAGCCCTGAATTATCTGCCACTAAAATGTAGGATTTTTTTGGAGAAAGTTAGACCTGGAAGAACAAGTTAATTTTTTCAAGCATAGTATTTGGAAGGAATGAAACCCAAACTCACCATTGCATTTTCACTCTGACAAAGTGGTGAGCCTAAGGACCTAGTTGGAAGGTTAGTTTGCCGTTGCTACTGTAACTGTCTGCCACAGACTTGGTGGCTTTAAGCAACATGGATTGAATATCTGTCCTCTGGGTCAGAAGTCTGCAGTGAAATCCAGGTGCAGACAGGACTACATTCCTTTCGGTGCGGGGAGGGGTGCGCCCTTGCCTTACCCAGCCTTCAGAGTACCTTCCTTCCTTGGCTGCGACTCCCTTCCTCGCTCTCAGCCAACAGTAGCAGCTTGAGCTCGCACCACATCATCTCGGCCTCCTTTTGGCCTCCTCTCTCCACTGTTGAGGACCCTTGTGATTTCACTGGGCCCACCAGTGAAAAATAATGAAGAAAATTCTGAGTCCTTAATTCTTCAGTAGATGATCATCTCCCTATCTGAAATCAAGTAATTAGCAACCTTAATTCCCCATCGCCATGTAACGTGATGTATTTGCAGGATCTGGCGAGTGGGGTGTGCATCTGTAGGGAGCTATTCTCCTGCCTCCCTTAGCTTTAGACTACTCCGCTCTGTACTTTTCATGGTTGCTGAAGTCTAGTTCCTTAGCTAGACTCAACGTAGGGACAGAAATTGCATTGTACTCTCTTGGTACCTATTTTTAACCTTTATCCACCATTTCTTACTCTCTTCAGTCCTTTCGAGGATCAAAATTAAAAGTGAGTTGTTTAATATCTCTGCCTTAGTTTTGCTGTGTATGAAATAGTTGTAATGATAAGCTCATATCCTTTTCACAGATCTTGTAAGAGAAAATGAAAGACCTACTTGGCCTTCCCACGTAGGTCCCTAGCCTCAATGTCCTATAAAATTAAGGGACTATCCTGAATTCAGGACAGACTAGTCAAAGCTGTTTAGAGGTTTATACTCTTCTCCCTTCCTTCTGCTCCCCTGCCCCCCTGCCCCCACAGAGGGCACATCTACTTGTCAGAGAAAGAGAAAACATCCCTAATGGGGTGTGGTTACGATCTCAGTCCCTTTTCCTCCATTTCTCTGTCCCATCAAGATTTGGGCACACATGTACACACGCTCAGCATGGTTTTTTTCAAATCATTGGGCCAAGATCGAACTGCAGTCAACGCTCTGGGATCCAGCTCCCGGTGCATAGCACTTGACCACTGCAGTACAGCCACCCTCCAGTCCTTTTCTCCCACCCCTGTATTGTCCGAGTGTCACAGCGGCTTCTCGAGTACTTCATGCCTGGCCAGAAATTGAGGCAGACACAATAAACATGGTATAAGTATGAGGGAAAGCTGGGAAACAAATGGACCACCACAGCTAGGAGGTGGGGGGGAGGCTCCTTGCCGTGACCTGGGTGGCAAGGAGAGAAAAGAATTTGTGGAGCAGATCACCCTGACAGCTGCAGGCCCATTTCTCCTTGTAAGCACCTCACTGGGTGTGTGGGGTTTGTGTTGGTCCGTGCAGTGTGCCTACACCCATTTCAAGCTCTTGGAGACCTGTGTCAGCGAGCAGCACAGCTACCACTGGCATGACGGCCTGAAGAGGTTTTTCAAGTGTCCCTGTGGAAACAGAAGCATCTCTCTCGACAGGCTCCCGAAAAAGCACTGCAGGTATGAATTGCTTAAGATCCCTTTTCTTATGGCTCCCATATGGTTCTGTGCTCTTGGAACACTAGACGATCATTCCAGGCCTTATATCTCCAGATGTTCCTGAGACCAGAATTGTTACCTTAAATCCTGGGAAAGAAACAGCTCTGCCCTTTTCACTGCCGTATCCCCAGCACTTGATAGTACTTGGCCCATAGAAGGGCCTCAAAAATGTTTGTTAAATATTGTAAATACATGAAATAGAAGTAGGGTGCATTGGTGAATATGTGTGTTTCTTGGGGGCAAGGATGTAAGGTTTTTTTTTTCTCTCCACTCTGAGGAGTTATTTGTTCATTTAAAGTTTATTTCACATGTCAGTATGTGTGTTTTAAGGGCCATTGGTTCATTGTTATTGGTACTTTGTGGGTGCACAGAGGCAGGCTGTTCTGTAGGACAGTTGGGGTGGGGGCATCATCCCATAGAATACAGTGTAATAACACCGGGTGCGTGTGTGTGTGTGTATATATACATATACTTATTTATTTATTTGTTTTAGTTTGCTTATTTTATTTCATGAGAGAGCCAAGTCCCCTTGACAGGTCACGGTCAGCCTCAGGTCAGGGGAAAGCATATGCCCAGCGTACTCAGGGAAGTCCCCAGACTTGTACTGGAAAGCTTCTTCCCAGTGTGTGTCAGCCTCACCCAGAGTTGTGCTTTACCACTGCACCATCATCCAGCCCCCATTCTCAAACAAATAATGTTACCCCTTTGTTGGTTTTCTTGTGCAGATATACTGTTGTGTATGCAGATCATTTTTATTTTGTATAGATGGGATGGTATTCTGTGTTCCATGTTACTTCTTTTTGCACTCAGGTCTGTGTTTGTAGCATGCCTCTCATTGCTCTCTGTCTACCTCGCCTGTTGTTCCTGCCTGGTAACAGTGCTCTTGGTCAGCATCATCTCGTTTGACCTGTGGGCCTCTGAGTTTCCAGTGTGCTTTCATGCTCTCCACATGTGTCCTTGTAGAGTCTTGCCTAGGATTTTTTCCAATATGCATCCAGGGATGAAGCCATCTAAGCAGTGCCACACTGCTTCCCAAGGCAGCTGTGGCAGTTGCATCCAAAATGATACCTTTTTTGAAATTTTCAGTTGTCTGGTTATTGGTATTTTTTATGTCTTTTCATATGCATTTTAATCTTTTGCATTTCCTCTTCTGTAATTTTCTGTTGCCATCTCTTATCTATTTCCCTATTAAGGTCCTTGCAAAACTTCCTGAGCCAGCTCCATGTTCTGGGGGTTAAGGCAGCAGATCTCACATAGCTAACCATGTGGTTCAAGTTCCAGACCTGGTGGCTTGAGAAACACATTAGGTACATGTGCATGCGTGCCCAGAATCCCAAAAGGAGAGCGATGAAGAAGAGATTGCAACATGACCATTCCCCACGGCGAGTGCTTCCTCCTCTCCCTTTCTCTTATCTGTCTGGCCAGTAATGTGAATGTCACCTTAAATAGCTTCTGCTTGAATGAAGGGATACTGTTCCTCCTGAGTGTAGTGGACACCATGATCTTCATGTGTGTGGGCTGATAACCTCCCCACTGAGTAAATCCATCTTTTCTTTTTCAGTAATTGTGGCCTCTACAAATGGGAACGGGACGGAATGCTAAAGGTATGTTATTTGCCTACTAATTTGTGAGTACTTTTAGTCACCCATACAATGTTGAGCCATTTCTTATTAAAATACTTTCATTTTTCTAGGAAAAGACTGGCCCAAAGATAGGAGGAGAAACCCTGTTACCAAGAGGAGAAGAACATGCAAAATTTCTGAACAGCCTTAAATAAATAGCTCTATCTTCAGACATTTTCCTATAACCTGCCTTGCTTCCTTTGGCCCTGGAAGAGCAAGGGATTCACATTGTATTGGCCATGTTTCTGACTGACACAATCAAAACCAAGTGCTTGTTAAGCCCACAGGCTTTGTTTGCCTACTTTACTTTTCTCCATTTGACACCAAATCGAACATCGACATTTAGGTGGAAAATCAAGGTACCATTGTCTTTCCTATGCCGACTACAGATGACGACATTACTAGATTCACAGAGATTTTTTTTCCCTCTAAAACTGGAATAACTAAAGTAAGAGCTGTGTTTCCGTGTCTCTCGGTTATAAAGACTCTACTCCTTTATCACAATATAGTTCTAGTGTTTAAATGGACACCCAGAGACCAAATATTTGAGTCAGCTTAACTTTTGCCCCAGGTAAGTTGCTTAATTTCACATTCCTTGTCTGGGAAATGAGAAATACTGGAAATGATCTTAATGATCTAGAAATGTATCTCTCAGTAGAGTCTACAAATAATGTAACCTTTTTCCTTCTAGAGAATTATGATCATTGCCCTTCATAGGGTCATGATTTACAGATGTTAAAAGCCACATTCCAGCTTTCTATGCTGTTATTACCTCTGTTATACTCTGATCAAGTCTCAGAATCACTTTGCGTTTTAGTTTATTTATATAGAGGGCCAGCTCTCTGCTCCTATAGTATTGTGGTGCTCTCTACTAGGAATATCTAAAATCTCATCATTTTGAAGAATGAATTTATTTAACCATGGCTCAAAGAAACTTTGACACCTCTCACTAAAATGCAGACAAAATTTGAGAAGCTCTGAACTATGATTGAAGAACAGAAGCATTACATAAAGACAGAATCCCATGGCCTTTGGGGTTTACAGATTTGCACACAGCAAGAATTAAAAGTCAAATCCTATACAAGTTAGCACAACAAAATTTAGTTGAGATTCTTTTGTCTGGGTCGCCTGATTTTCCAAATATCACTTGATCCCAGTGAATTGCTGCTACAATAAAGATTGGGTAAATTGTTAGGATTATGATATTAAAATTTCAACTCTAGCTGGAAATAGTTTAGGTTTCCCCCAAGATGCTATTGTGTTAAGAACATAACACTTACAGGATCTAGTTGTGGAAGATGGTGGGTTTAGGTTTTCAAGAGCCAGAAATAAAATGCACTTGCCCTAAATTTCATAAAATCGATTCGTATAGGTATGAGTGGAAGGTGCTATGTCTGACCCTTGGGCTTCTCCTAAGGTTATGTCCTGATAACTGTGCTTCTCGGAGAACTTCACTTTCCAGAAGGTATTTGGTTTATAACAGGTTTTGTCTGACAAAGACAAGAATAAAGTGTTTAATTACGAATACAAACCAAAAAGCAGTTGAAACTCATATTTTTATGGCTCATATAGAGTAGATTTGTCTCATGAACTTAAAACAGCAGTGTATGTGAAGTAGGTCATAACTGCACAGTTGGAACACCGGGTTACTCTTTGAGCAGTCTCCTTGCAGTGTAAGAGGCATGTTCTTGTTTGTACCACCCCAGTCTCTACATGCTTGTGCAGGGTCTTTAGGTTGTATAATAGACTTGTAAAAGCCAATGAACTGGCTCTGGATACCTTTTTAAACCTTGATTTTATATTTTTACATAACCTTAAAGTACTGTATAATTTAATCACTTCTTAGTTGTGCTAAGTCTTGGAGGTCTTTCATTGTGTGTGTATGTGTGTGTGTGTGTGTGTGTGTGTGTGTGTGTGTGCACTTGTGCGTGCTTTCTTAGACTATTCAGAGGTGAGAAGTAGTGAGGTTAGTGCAGGTTGGGGAAACTTCCTTGTTTTCCCTGAAAATATTCTCAGTGAGATTAATCTAATACTACCCTCTGTCTGCATGTATTAAATGGTTTCATACAAATCCTAAGAGTATGTTTGATTTTTTTCCTAGTCTGTCGTTGGTAACATAGGGCTTATTGTATCATTAGAAGCCAACAGATCAAAATTAGTAAACTAAAACCAGCCATGCCCTTCAAGGAGAACTTGGCCGATCTGAATGTTATAATCTTCACAGTAGGATATTTTTGTTGTTTTTGTTTTTTTTTTCCTTTATGCCATTTCTGTTTACAGGAAATTAAGTGACTTTTTAAAGAAAATCAGCTTTTTCTTTTCTTTTTTTTTTTTTTTAGTTTTGCTAAAATAAAATACATTTTTCTAAAGACAAAGGAAAACAAATATTTTAGATAACAAACATCTGGGGGCCAGCCCTGTGACCTAGTAGTCAAGGAACCAGATCCCACATGGCTGACGGCACAGTTCAGATCCCAGCCCTGGTGGTTTGAGAAACATGTCAGATGCATGTGCATGCCTAGAATCCCAAGAGGATGGGAAAATGGAGGAGAAGGGATTGTGGCATGAACAAGCTCCATGGGGGAGGGGGGGTCTCTTTCTCTGTCTATGGCAAGCACATGCACCCTCTAGCAAATTAAGGGGGAAAATTATTCAGAATAGCAATTAAGAAATTCTGAATGACTGATAGAATTTTTTCCAAAGAGAACTTAAATGAAAACTATAGATTGTCATGTATAGCAATGTTAATAGGAAGAGATCGCATGAATTGGGTTTCTGTAAAAGTTGACAGAAATAAAGCTTGATTATAATAAGTTAAATAATGCTCATTGACATATTTTTAAAAATCCGAGGTACAAATCTGTTTGCCTAAGTATGTGACTAATAGCAACCCATCAGAACTGCTACTCTACCAGTAAAATCGGCATCTCTGGTCCTATGTGCAGAAATGTAGAAATAGTACAACTCTCAGGAAGGACAGATAGTTTAAAAATGAAATTCTACTTCTATTTGCCAATATTTGAGGAAAGAAACGGTGATATATTAAAAGAAAATAAGAGGCATAAAAGTAGAAATCAGCTGATTCAGTTGACAGCAATCTGTGAAGAGGATGTTGAAATTTTGAAATTTAAAAAGTAGAGCCATGCTTTTTTTTTTTTTTTTTTTTTTTTCTTCAGATCAAAATGGGAACAATCTCTGCCGTGTCCCTGCACCAGTCAGACTACGTATCCACTATGTGTACAGTCAGTCCCTGTGAGACACAGGAGTTACATTCTGTGAAGTCACTGTGGACACTCAGTGATTGCTTCTCAGGGAGATTCAGGATTGGGTTCCTGCAAGCCTCTGGTCACAACATTTTCAACAACTGACCAATGCATATGCTTTTTTTGTGTGTGTTTACTTTTAAAGGCAGCCTACTTAATATTTATTGATTTACTAACTTCATATTCATAGTCAACAGTACTATCACATGTTTGAAGGAAGCTTATACAACTCACAGATTTTCTCCATAAGGCAAATCTCACTAGACAGCACTTCAGCACTATGCTTGGGGGCCCGTTTTAGGCAGGAAAATCACCAAAGAGCAGCACAGGAGTGAAAAACAACATGTGAAGTGCATACACTTATCAAGTGAGAGCTGAAACAGAGGCCATGGTTTTGTTTGGCCTCCGCTGGGAATATGTCACCGCACACGTGTTTGCCCACCAATTCCAGCAAACACACTGCAAGTATTGATTTTGAGATTACAAATCTTAGCAATCAGGTAAATTTGCTAATACAGAACTGTGGATGATAGCGGGTGATTGTGTAGCATTTCCCAAGGCACCAAATGAGGTGTATTGCAGATATGGAAATTGGTTAAGTAGTTTGGAAATATGGGCTAAGACTGGGATCAGAACCAAGTCTTTGGTAACATTGCTTGAGCAAAAATTTCTCTAGTGGTCTTTTTTAAAATCAACAGTAGTAAGGTACAATAAAGGGCGCACATCTGAGGTGAACAGTTAATATGAGTTTGGACAAATGTATGCAGCTATATACCCACACCACAAGCAGAATATAAGATATTGCCATTCCGCTGGCGGGGGTGGTTCTGAATTAGTTTACAAAACAGTATTTTGTCCAGTGGTGCCACAATTTTGTGCTGGATACATGATAAACAACTAAATTGTCAGAAAAATTGAAAGCTGTTATTCCTGCCCTCTGCCTCACAGTAATGGGATTATCACTTTAATTCGAAAAGTCTTTCATTTGATTCAGATTCCCTAGTGTGTTACTTTAGACTCAAAAATATACTTAGTATGTTAGAGGCCATCTCTCCCTTAAGTGTAGCAATCTTTGTTTTGTGTATTTGAGTATTCCAACATTGAGTGTAATTGTTGTATCTTCTTGGTGCATTGAGCCCTTTAATACTACATAATGACCTTTCTTCATTGTCTCTCTTAATGGATTTTAGTTTCTTAGTGGATTTTAGTTTGAAGTCTGTTTTGTGTGATATCAGGAAAGTAACCCTTTTTTGTTTTGTTTTGTTTGTTTGTTTCCCTTTGTGTGGAATGACATTCCACTCTTTTTTTTTAACCTTTGTATGTCTTTATTGATGGGGCAAGTTTATTAGAGTGTTAAAATTAATGAAAAGTAATCTAGAAAATGTTGTTCACTTTTTTTATTAAGTTATTGTTCTTTCCTCTAAATATTCTTGTAGGAAGCTTTTGTCTACATTTTATGAAAACTGCTTAACTATAAACTATATAGTTGTGTCTATACATACACACTTACACACACATGTATAGTTGGTTAAATAGGTATAAAGTAGGTCCCAGGTTAAAAATGAATTTGAAAATATTAAAAAAATAAAAGTGGAAGAAAAGTTTATATAAATATTTAGATATGCATAGCCCACTGGACAAAGACTCAAGACTTGGGGAATAATGGTTTCCTTGGGGAGAAAGAGGAGGAGCTAAATTTCTTCTATATTCTTTTCTGTCCTTTTAAAATTTCAAACCATATGTATGTAATACCTATTCAATTTTTTTTTTTTTGAGGTTTTTCACAATAGGGCGCGTGCGCTCACCAGACAGACAGAGAGAGACAGAAAGCGAGAAATCACCCCCCAGGGGGGATGGTCACGCTGCAATCCCTTCTCCTCCATTCTCCTCTCGGGATCTTGGGCATGCACATACACGCTCCTGGCATGAGTTTTAAGCCACCGGGTCCAGGACGCAAACCGCGGTCGACTACGTGGGAGTCCAGTGACATAGCCATTATGCTAACTGTTTGTTCCCCCTATTCAAATTATTTTAATTAAAAAAAATTAAGGTGAGGGGGACCAGCAGATGGCATGATGGCTATGTCGCTGGACTCCCGTGTAGTCTACTGAGGTTTAAGGCCTGGACCCGGTGGCTTAAACTCACACCAGGCACATGTGCATGCGTGCCCAAGATCCCGAGAAAATGGAGGAAATGGGATTGCGGCATGGCCACCCCCCCGGGGGGGAGTTTTCTCGCTTTCTGTCTCTCTGTCTTTCTGGCCAATGCACACACCCTATAGCAAAAACCTTCCAAAAAAAATTAAGGTCAGGAAAATGGAAAAAAAAATTTAAAGAAAGTGTTCAGTACATTATGAGATCATAAAGATCACAGCGTATACCAGAGTTGTCAAACATGAATGAAAACATTCACAATAACCAATTTGCTTTTGGATAAATCCTTTAAGAGCTAAAGATAGAACTTTAAAATTATGAAAAGCTTGTCAAAGAATGTAATTAGTTAAAAGATAAATTTGAAGTTAATTAACCCAACCAAAGCACGTAAGTTCAGAGAATTTTTAAACGTCATTCTAGAGTTCACAAAAAACTACCTCCTCCTGGTCCGGCTCAGTGGCCTTGAGGTTTTTAGGAGCAACACAGTTTGAATCCTTGCCTTGGCTGCTTGAGAAACACCAGGTATTTGTGTGCGCCTAAAATGCCTACAGGATGGAAAGATGGAGCAGGGATTGCAGGATGACCATGCCCCATTAGGAGGGTGCCTTCTCCCTCCCCTGCCTCTCTCTCTGGCAAGGGCATGTACCCTCTGACAATTTAAAAAAAAAAAAATTGCCTTATCTCAAAAGAGCTAAGAAACAAAGGCACATGATCTGCAAAGTCTCTCCTGGAGCACATGCACAAATATTTAAACAATAAAATGCTAACATGCAAAACTAGTAAATAAAAATTATTAACAAATTCATTCTTTGTCAGGTTTGTTTCCAACCACTTGTCTGAAATTCAGCCCTGAAGAACTAGGAGATAGTAATGAAAGAACAGAAAGTAAGTAAAAGAATATCCCAAAGACCACACTTTGGACCAGGCCAGTCTGCTCCAAAAATACAAATGGCTCTGTTTCTAATTTCCTATTAGATGCGACTGCCCAGATTCCTGGTCATGTTACCTTTGGCCAGCTCTCCCTGCCAGGGGAATGACTGCAATTGGTTTTTAGGGAAGGAATTCTGGGCTGAATTTGAAAACCCTGAAGAATAATGGAACCCTTGTTGAGGATGGGGTTAGAGTGAGGTAATAGGATTCATATTCAGCCCCTTGCTGTTCCGAGTTCTTTATCTAGAGCCAGCATGTGAAGAGTGACCACTAAAGAGGCAAGGACATGCTGTTTCATTTCGTCTTTTGGAACTGGCCACCCACCCAAACCATTCTTGGCTGTTGACATCCATCTGGCCCAGCATTCCTTCCTGCAGACACACAACAGGCAGGCAGGTGGCTGTGTAGTATGGGCTCGAGTCAGAATTCACCTGCTGCTGTCCACCTGTTAGCACATGGGGAAGAGAACCGGCCTTCTTGCCAGAAGATACTGGGGCATGTTATCTTTAATGATATTAACCAGACTGGCTTGTCTTGTTTCCTGGCTATGGTAGGAGAGCAACACATGACTTTAATTTTTTTTTTTTTTGCTATAGGGTGCCACATGTTCACTAGATTGAGACAGAGAAAGGGAGAAACCCCCCTACCCCCACCACTCCCATCCCCCGCCAAGGAGAGGTGACCATGCTGCAATCTCTTCTCATTCATTCTTGGGATTTGGGGTGTTTTTGAAAAACACCTGGTGTGTTTTTCAAGCTGCCAGGTCTAGGACTTGCACTGCACTACAGTTTTCCATGTGGGA